AAATTTCGATTTTATAAAATTTTAGAATCAGTTTAATTTGACAGCGAAATTAAGCATTAAACCAAAATAATTTAAAGCAGTTTGTTTTAAGTTATTTGTAACACATCGTCATATAAAAGCCAATAAAAAATGACATGTAATAGCTAAATTGGTTAAAAATGTCTTTTTGCAGCCGAAACTCATTCTAGCGATGTCACGTAAGCGAAACAACGTGAAACTCGCTTTGAACACATCAAAAATTCTACTAGTAGAGAAGAAAAAAAATAATGACGTTATAGGATTCTTAAAGTATTTCCATCCCTAAGACCCTCTCCATTAGTGAATCCTATGTTGGGGTTTTTAGGATTTTTTTTTTATTTTTTCTGATATAAGAATAGCTAAGAACTTCTACTATTTTCCTCTTCCATTAGTGAATCCCAATATTGCGTTCTTAAGAATAAAATAATATTAAGCCTAGAAATCGAAAAAAAAAAAACCAGTCTGCCCAGTTACATGCCGACACATGCGTTAAGAAACCAGGTTCTTTCGGCTCTTATTCTTAGCAATTGTGGGCTTTTTCATTTTTTCTAATTATTTTCACCTAAGAACATGTGCAAAAAAAAACCCTCTTGAACTCCTAATGGAGATTCTTAAATTTTTTTTAATAATTAATTTTTAATTAATTTTTAACTCACATGAGGCTCAATTTAACTCCATCTCTCTAATACTCACATGGACTCCAATTTTTAACTTCTTCCAGTAACCAATTTACAACTAACACATGTCTTAAGATCCATTAAAGATCAGTTCTTATAATAGGACTCTAAAGACATGTCCAACACGGGTTCTAAAAGATTCATAGGCTGGATTTTAAGTTTTTTTGGTTTATTTTAATTGGAAAAGCCCACAATTGTTAAAAGGCGGTTCTTCTATTAGCGTTTTTAGAACTGATTTTTGGAGAGGTTCATACGTGAAGTGGCGTGTTTTCATTCGTCAAATGTAAAATAGTTGGAGAAAGCATTTGTCTCACTTTGTCGACCATATCGAATACTTCGGAAATTTTCTCTACATCGTCTCTTCCAATTTTTTTTACCGACTGTTTTCACCAACGTTTCTCAACAAATCGGAGAGTTCTGCATCGCAATCGGAGTTGGTTCATTTGAAGCGCTTGGTGAAGATCAGTAGTCTAATCGTTTTTGTTATGTTTCTTGAAAAATTAGGGTTTACAGATTTGGGGAAAGTTTTCATTTCTACTCCAATCGGCTTGTCGAATTCAATTAGGGTAATTAGAATCAGCAACTCGGTGTGTGTGATTTCATCTTTTAAACGATTTTAGGATTTAGATGTAACTGATATCATTCACCTCTAACACCTGCGTAATGGGATTTATGGATTTAGCGAATGGTTTTTGCCTTGCGATGGTATTTCTAGTGGTCTCTAACATGCCGCTTCATATCATTTGAACCCTTATTTCATATCTTGTCTTATATGATTTCATCTTTTCTATCAGTTAATCTCTTTTATGTATCGATGAAGAAAATGAGATTTAGGGATTTTTCGTCTTATTTGTTATAGAATTTCATGGCTATTATGTAACAATGATGATGCTTTGGTTTGTTTGATATAGTAGATTGGTTATCTTAGAATTCTTTTCGGATGTCTGCGACTTAAAATTCTTATCTCATTCTTATTAGTTTTGTTGTTTCAATACTTTTTTGTGTGTGATATAGGCTCTGATTGGCGTGCAGGCTGTGAGGACTTTTATGTGTTTAACAGTTCTTATAGCAATTTTTTTTCCAATCAAACTTCTTAGACTTTAAAATATTTTACAATCTTTACAGTAGTTCTTAAAATTCTCTTTATTATTTTTAACAGCCTCTTTTTGTGGCTTTTAAAGTTTTTCTCTCTTACTCTCTCTTTACGTAGGATTTTTTTTCTCATTTCCTTAAGTCATCAATTCTATTATTGTTTTAATAAATTGTCGAAAAAATCAACTTACATCAAATACTCAAATTCCTACTCTTTATGTAGGATTTTTATTTTTTACATTTCCTTAAGTCATCAATTTAATTATTGTTTTAACAAATTGTTGAAAAAATCAACTTAGATCAAATACTCAAATAAGAAACATTCAAACAAAAAAAATAAAATAATCATATTCTACTATTTTTAGATCACAAACTCACTATAAATACATTGAGAAAGTTTTCTAAAAACTGGCACATCCAACTGGTATAATTGATTTTCTCCTTGATATTTTTTCTTTAATATTTTCAACTTATAGATATCTTATTGATCTGAAACTTAATGTCATTATGGCATCACCATCTTATTCTCGGCAGGTAACGTATAAAATTTCATTTTTTAATTCAATACAGTTATATATTTATTATGTTATACCAATATATATATATATGTTTTTTTTGGTTAAAATCTATAGAAAAAGATCACTTGGACTGATAACAATACTCATATATTCCTTTCATTGTTCATCTCTGAACAAGAGGATGAGGGTTGGAGGGAGTCTTAACGAAAAAGGGAAAAAATAATTTAGTTTCTAAATTTTATGAGGTAACAGGATATAAGTTATCATGGAAAAAAATTTAAAAATCATTACGACAACGTGAAAGTACGTGATACTGTATACAAAAGATTATGCAACAAAACTGGAGTACATGTCGATTCGACTACTGGAGAAATTGATATGGAAAAAGAATGGTGGGATGACCGGTGCAAGGTAAATCTCATGTAATAACTTGTATTCAATATGTTATTCAAAATTATAATATTCATTATTTAATAACAAAATATTTTTTATAGGAAATTCCAAAAGCTAGTCTTATCCAAAAAAAAGCCGTTGCAGGATATTGATATGCTAGAAAAAATATTTTCAGACGGGTATATTGGAAGTGAAAACGGGTGGGCGGTTGGAAATGGTTTTGATGGGTATGTGCCAGTGGATGATACACAAACCGAGGCAGATGAATCTGATAAGGGTGAAGACCAGGAATCAATTTTTTTGTGAAACACCAAGCACCCAAGATCGTACTTGATCAAACAAAACGCATTCAAACGTTAATGTTAGACGTAAACGTAAAAGGTTCAGAGAGCAGTGAAAAATCTGAAATTTCGATGGCATACGACCGTCGATCGGAGACCACTAAATTTGCAGGAGAATCAATGGATTCAGACAGAGAGAGAGC